ACAAACATTTCAGATGTTTAAAATTCATCAGTCTCCTACTGTGCTGGCGCCACTATACCTGAATTAAAAAATAAAATTTTGTTTAAGATAAAGAAACAAAGCCCAAGTGAGGAGTAGCAGAGTGACTTGGCTGCAGGATTAGGACATGGGCGGGGTACTTGGTGTCCTGTGGAGAGAAGTGACTGAGAAATCCCAACACACTGGGACTGTAAAGCGACTAATGGGAAGATGGAGGCTCCGGTGGCAGGTGAAGGATTGTGAGCTGTTTTCTGCAGCTGTGACTGAATACCATAGACTGCATAATTTATAGAGGATTTATTTGTAGAGAACTCCTAATTCCCAGCTTTAGGAACCCAGATAAACTGGGAAATCCAAAGCCGAGCATCAGGTGACAGCCTTCTTGCGGTGGGGACTCCCGGAATAAAAGCGATCAGGGCATCAGAGTGAGGCAGAGCCAGCGGCAGCCAGTTATAACAACACCCCAGCAGTAACCCACAAATCCATCGGTCCAAGAGCGGATTAATCCAGTCCAGCGGCCTAGGGTATTTCAGTGCGTTGTATTCAATGCATCCACCGACACAAACCACACCAGCCAAGAGCTGCGTTGCCTCCTGCTGCTCCAATGGCTTTCCTATGCGGCTCTTTATTCCATCACTTGGCTGAGGCCTTCACAACAGGTCAGCTTTACCTCCTCTCCTCCTGGTGAGGAGTTTGATGTATTTCGTGAGCGTTTGTACTTTCATATTTTATCCCTTGTTCTTGGACATCACGATGATTTCCTTGGGTATGTGCGCTTTGGGGTGGGGGATGGGGGTGAATGGGACTAGGGAACCTGGGGCAGGGCAGGCCCTGGTGTTTCCTGGGGGAAGGTCTGGGATGTGAACTGCAGCTTGCTTGTGGCTGCATATTCTCGCCTATCCCTGGGTCCTGCTCTCTTTCCCCATGGCACCCCCAGGAATCCTATAGGGCCACCGTGGCTCCCCTGCGCCTCCTCCCAGCCCTTCTCTCTGCGGGAACGCCACATCTCTTGAGAAGACACATACTCTTAAAAATTCCGAGTTGGGTCGAGTATGCAGTTTCGTATCTTCCCTAGCTACTGCTCGAAAGCCACTGGTTCACTTTCAGCAGCCCGTAAGATGTTTACCTACCGTGCTTAGGGGGAGAAGCATGAATTACTTACGGGCGCTAGGAGGTGGTCACTTGCATTGAAGATTTCTCCAGAGCCTGTGCGGCTGGAGAGGCTAGACTGGAGCACAAAGACACCAAAGTTGGGGTACATAAGCTGGGGATGGTAGCCCGGCTTTTCTCAGGCTGATGGATTGGTTGTGGAGTTTTGCCTCAATAGCTCCGATGGTCATTCACAGCTCTTTTTCATTTGCTGATATAAAGGAGAAATGGCCACAGAAGTCCCTTCAGCAAACACAGGCAGGAGGAACAGGACAGCTTACCATCCCACATCCCCATTCCTCAGTACGGGCAGCTGAGGTCCAATCGCAGAAAACAAAGCTCTTAACTGAAGGACTCTCGAATGCCCCAGCCTCCGCTGCACCAGAGATGTCCCTGGAGTCAGAGTAAGGTGAGAAGGCCTTTGTCCAAAGGATGGCAGCTGGAAACTGCAGAGAACAAAAGATGCCTAAACCCTGTTCCTATTTTTATGAGAGGAGAGGATGCCAACTCACTACAACCCCTAGAGCATGTACTCTGATGCCAACCAGCTACTTCCTATAGCTCCAAACTCAATGGTTCAACCATGCAGGGAAGCCTGAAAAGTGGTCCTGTGTATTCTGCAGATCCTTTTGTCCAGACTGGATGTTGTACTACTGCTCCTCCAATTATCAGCCTCTTTTGGAGACCCCTCCCCCAAATGTATGTCATATACTGGTCATGGCAGTATGTCACTTGTATTAATTGTGGAAATTGAAAAGAACCCCACTTTGTGGTTGGGGTGAGAGCTGGCTGGGGTAGTAGAGAAGGATGTGTGCTTGTCATACCAGGTGACATCAAAATCCAGGATATCAAGGTGCTTATTAATGCCAAGGAAATACATTCCACGTGTGGACTGATGGCCTCCAGTGCCAGGCACTGTGCTTTAGAGCCAGTGAAGGGAAAGAGGGTACAGACAAAACAAAGTCAGGACAGCCAGAGCTGTTACACAGAGAATCCCTGTCTCAAAAAACCAAACAAACAAACAAACAAAAAAAAACAACAACAAAAAACCCAACAACCAAAGACACAAATGAGAAGGAATGTGCAAAATATTTTTAAACAATAATCATTGGACAAAATTACCAATAGCAAAAGTGGCACCAGTCTGGAGTTGAACAGGCACTTTTTGGGAAGATCTTTGTGTAGAAGTAATGCCTGTGTGAGTGCATGCATGCATGCCTGTGTCTGAGCTTGTATTGTTGGGGCCTGAAGCACATCAATATTAAACTCGACTATACCTAACTAACCTATGGCTCTCAGTCCCTTAGAGCAAAAGCTCATGGTTCTGGAGTCTTGTGATGGAGTATTATGTCATTTGTGAGTAAATAACCCTTCCCTTACAGCTACAGCTCCCTCCAGTCTGTTAAGATTGACAAGAGTTATTTTTACTCTGACAACTTTTATACTTTATACAATACCAGACCCATTGGGCATGTTTTTATAACAACAGTAAATGAACTGTAAAACAGGAAGTCTATTTGACCTTGGTGTGGGGGAGAGAGATAGGGCTTTGGCCATTCTGCATACAGTGCAGATGCATACCGCCAAGGTGGACTAAAAGTGACTAAGATGTTGATGTCACTGGGAGGAACACGTCATGCATTTTTACTTATTAAGTTTTGTTTAATATTATTTTTTGTTTATCATTTAATAGCTTTAAAAACATTTAATGAGCAGATGTGGTAGCTATTCCACTGGAGATGGAAGCCAGAGCCTCAGGAATTCAAGGCTGAATGAGCTACATGTGACCTTGTCTTAACAATAATAAACTCCACTGTAAAAGTGAGCCATGGTTTGTTTTACTAATGTCTCTTAATACCTGTAGTGGGGCCTCATCACTTCTACATGCTATTCATGGAAGTGAATGTCAATTTTTGCTTGCAAATGTGGTTGTTACTTTGGGAGACTACAATTGACAGTGGGACTTCTGGCACACTGTAGAAAATCTTGGTATACATGCCAGCTTTTCTCCTTCAGCGTGTGGCAGTGTTCCTGATTGAACTATGCAGCTCCACCCACCGCCATTTTAGTAGGTGCAACATTTGTCATTGCTTTAACGAGCACCTGTTTGATATTAGCATGATAGAAATTTTTTCAAGATTCTATTTCCTATTCATGTTCATAAACAATTTGTAAATGTTCTCCAATTTATATAGATATTTCTAGTATTAAGCTTTTGAGTCTTGGTAGTTACAAGTAATTTTAACCGGAGGTTTATTTACATTTTGTGTATAGGAGGGTTGACACACAAATGTTTTTGTTTTTTTTTTCCCTAAGTGAATTTTGTTTGTTTGTTTTTGTCCTTCAAGACAGGGCTTCTGTGTGTAGCCCTGGCTGTCCTGGAATTTGCTCTGTAGACCAGACTGACCTCGAACTCACAGAAATCTGCCTGCCTCTGCCTCCTGAATGTTGGGATTAAAGGCATGTCCCACCACTAGACTCTAAGTGATTTTTTTTTTACAAAATTGCTTTGAAAGCATTTTCTCATGCTGATAATTAAGACTATGGTTACCTATCCCTGAAGTCTCCCAATATCAAGACAACCTGAAGCCTCAGCAGCCAGCTGAAAGGCTTCCAGGTTTGTTCTTTCACTAAGCATTGGCTGGGCATCTGTGGTGTGCTATGTTGCCTTTCACCCTGTAGACACTGGAGAAACAGCCACATCTCTGCGTGGGGGATTACAGTTCACTGTATTTTGGCGGAATATAGAAAGGCTGTATGTTGATGTGAAGAGTTCATTGGAATTATGCACTAGTATGTGCAGGGCACCTTGCCAGATTGTTTACCCGTATGAACTCATTGCATCTAACAGGCATTATACCATCACATGAAAAAATGGAGGTGCAAAGGAAGTAGATTACTTGTCCCAGGTATCGCAGCTAACTGGCCTCCAGACCAGGATCCCTCAACTGTAGTATGCAGATCCTGACCCAGTGTGTGTGTGTGTGTGTGTGTGTGTGTGTGTGTGTGTGTGTGTGTGTGTGTGTGTGAAGCAGGGAACTAACAGTCAGCTTTTCTAAAGCCAGTCCTCCAAATGATGCTGAAATGTGAGCGATGTGAACATGCAGCCTTTTATTTTTCTCATTTTCTCTCAACACACACACACACACACACACACACACACACACAGAGAGAGAGAGAGAGAGAGAGAGAGAGAGAGAGAGAGAGAGAGAGAGAGAGAGAACCTGCAAACTATTATGAGAGGTGTAATTGCTATAACCTGCTGTGTCCTGTAGACACGATACTCATCGGTAACATAGCTCTAGTTATTATGGGCATCCCAAGAATCCCTTCTCCAGATGAAAGTCTACCCTGCAACTCACTCCCAGTGAAACTACCTTAGTATGCTTTCAGATTTCCCAATGAACTGTTAAAATTCTGTAATGGATCTTCATAGAAATATTTCTTTGCTTTTGTTTCCCCTGGAGGGAGACTATGACGAGAAATAAATGACAGCCTGAAGCTGTCATATCCTCCTCCAACCCCTCCCTCGTTAGCTGTGGATGAGAAAGAGATGGCCGGCGATTTGGCTCAATGAGGGTCGGATCCCGCAGCATTGTCCCTTCAGCCATGTCCACAACTGCCTGAGATGTTAAATCTTCCCAGTTTTAAAACAAAGGGTTCAGACAAAGATGAGACTCCTGAGCCGGCTCAGCAAGAGCACTTTAGGATTGGTTGGGATACCGCCCAATAGGAACGAAGAACCGGTGTCTCCTACTGGCAACATTTTATGTTTGTCCAATCAGATGATAGTGTTTTGGAGCCTTCATTTAAATATAAAGATGACAAATAACCCTGCCTTCACCGTCTCCGCGTTTGTGTTGGTGCAGCTAGTGCAGCAGGATGCCGGAGCCTTCCCGCTCCACTCCAGCCCCCAAGAAGGGTTCCAAGAAAGCCATTACCAAGGCGCAGAAGAAAGACGGCAAAAAACGCAAACGGGGCCGCAAGGAGAGTTACTCCATCTATGTGTACAAGGTGCTGAAGCAGGTGCACCCCGACACCGGCATCTCGTCCAAGGCCATGGGCATCATGAACTCCTTCGTCAACGACATTTTCGAGCGCATCGCCAGCGAGGCCTCCCGCCTGGCGCATTACAACAAGCGCTCGACCATCACGTCCCGAGAAGTGCAGACGGCCGTGCGTCTGCTGCTGCCCGGGGAGCTGGCCAAGCATGCCGTTTCCGAGGGCACTAAGGCTGTCACCAAGTACACCAGCTCCAAGTGAGGCGCGGCGCGGGCGCCCCCAACCCAAAGGCTCTTTTCAGAGCCACCTTCCAAACTCAAAAAAGGAGCGTGCTGTCTGGTGTGATTAAGACCTGTCATTCACTTGATGTGCATTGGGATGGGGGGTGTATTGGACTTTGGGACCCTGAGGTAATGCACTCTTTGTTTATAATAATACATTAATAAATTAGGCTGGTTCCATTTTGACCACAGAACGTATTTTAGTAGATGGCTTCGGGGAACGTTTGATGTGGGCTGTGCGGTTAGGGACCAGGGGCTTCAGCAGCATGCTCTCCTCATCTTCCCACCCTGTGACCCCATTCTCCCTCCCCCATGTCCTGCGGAGTGCTGTATTGAGGTTCAGGTTGTGCTGTTGTGACTGCTGCTCTCGGAGGAGCCATCTTCCTCCGCCGCTTTGCTCCCTTCCTCCACTTGCGAGGATTAGACACTTGGAGCTCTTCCAGCCAAAAACAGTTTAAGCAAGTCTGTTTAGTATTGTACTCGAAACGCCTAAAAATGCGATGTATGGCTCCTGCTTTCCAGCCTTACCGCTAAGCCAAAATATTGACAGTGGAAATTCTGGCCTTTTATCCATGCATGTGTTTGAAGGATAAAAAGTCCTTTTGTTTCATCTCAATTTATACGTGTGTGTGCACCTGAGTATATATAAAAAATGTATATACATTAACAGAACTCTAGTAAATGGTGAAACGTCCTTTTAAATAAAGCAAATTAGTACCTTTAAAACAAAACAAAACAAAAAGCTACACACGCTGTAGTCAGTTTATGTTCGCATTAATGACTAAGTGCAAGAACATAATTACCCTCTCCTGAAATTCCAATATGAGTGCTTCAACGTATGTCGGAGAAGCCCATCTTTCCTGATCTCCTAGTTGCCCCTGGTTCCAATTACATGTTGGTTTCACGGGTGGACAATGGGGGGCTTTCTCCTCACACCACCTCCAATGGCAGCCGCTCATTTGTCAACATTTAGCCTCTTACTGTCTCAGATGGGAAAGATGAGTCTTTCCGTTGATAATTTCTTCTTAAAGAGACAGCTTTTTCCCTCGCTCAAAATTCTTAGTTGGTTCCCTAATAATTAGCAATTTTTTCTTGAGACCGGGGAATAACAATCTTGTCCATGTTTCAAACTGCATGCCTGCAAATCTCTCATTCCACCCCCCCAAACCTTACTATAAGTTTTTCAGATCCAGAGAACACATCATTTGCCTTGTTCTAGTTCTTGCTATTATAAATTCTCACATAATTGCACACTTGCCACACTTTCTAATTTTTCAATTTCACCTGATCATTCTCTTTACTCTGGTTATAACAAGGAACCAGAGACACTGATCTTGTATACAGTTAGTTGCTCTCAGTTTTCTGTATTCCAAAAACACAACAGCACAGTTTTCTACTTTCTTTGTGTTCTCCTTAATATTCACATTTTACAAGAGGACAAATTTTCCCAATCCTGAGCTGCAGCTGCCAAAGAAACAAACCTGGGCAACTTATTCTGAACTTCCAGCTTTTGTCAGGAAAAAGAGACAAAAACCTGGAAAAAAAAAACCATTGTATTATCAACAACTACAAATGTATTGTTACAGAATTATACTTGGAAATTATGATAGTGTGCTAGATTTGCTCACTGATTCTATCTTTTGTACTAAATAATGTTTCGGCACATCTCCTAGGCTCATTTCCTTCTGCAGGTACAGGTTCCAGTTTATCAAAACCATTTGTTTATACTGGGCCTAGATGAAGCAACTGCAGATGCTCCTTTGAAACTGGATCCTTGGAGCTGGAGAAATGGCCCAAGGTTAAGAATACTCTTGCAGAGGACCTGAGTTCAGTTCCTAGCACCCACAATAAGTGGGTCATTAATGACTCACAACCATCAATAATGTTACTTCCAAGGGATCTGACCCCCTCTTCTGACTTCTGCTTGCATGTGTATGCATCAATGCAGGAAAAACAAAATTTAAAAAATGGGTGGTTGACTCCAGGGCCTGGCCATGCAACTCTGTAATAGAGTACTTCCCCAGAATAGCAAAAGCATCAGAGGCCTTGACAATCACTTGGCAAGGATTGTATTCAACCTTTTTGAATGTAAATACCATTGGTGTTTTGTTTGATGAAAGGCTCTCACTATGTAGCTCTGGATAGCCTGGAACCTGGTATGCAGACCACACTGGTCTAGAGCACACACAAAGATCCACCTGCCTCTGCTCCTTCCAACCATTGCTATTACAGGTCTATGCTACCATGTCTGGCTTCCCAACCCTCTATTTTTGAGACCATTAAGAATACTGGCATAAGTCCATGGTGACACATGCCTTTAACTCCAGCACTCAGGAGGCACACCTAGTCTATATAGTGAGTTCTAGACCAGCAAGGCCTACATGATGACACTGACACGTGTGTGTGTGTGTGTGTGTTTGTGTGTGTGTGTGTGTGTGTGTGAGAGAGAGAGAGAGAGAGAGAGAGAGAGAGAGAGAGAGAGAGAGAGAGAGTGAAAGAACTGTTGACAGGTCTCTCACCTTTGATGATGAATCATGGTAAAGTGGTTACGACAAGGCTTCCATTACTATGCACTTACTCCTTTTTTAAAAAGATGTCAAATGAAGGTAATGCTATATACCACACAGACTGCTTGTGTCCATGAATGGATTTAAATAAACCCAGGCAGGGGCAAAGAAGACGACTAGGTGGCATTGCAGTGTTAGCCTTGGCTAACACATTAGAGGTCCAGAGTTCATTCTCCCACCCAATACCTTCCTCCCATCAGTAAAAACTCAGTTTCACTAACATACCAAGCCTTAATGATTTATGTCTTAAACCATTGTCTGCTGTCCTAGTGTCGGGTAATATGGTTGGCCTGTTTAAACTTCAATAGACAATTCTGGAGAACGGTAATTGGTAAAATGTAATACATATATAATTGCTGTTGGCAGAATTTGAGGCAGAAGGAAAATAGAAACAAATTCTCAGAGGAAAACAACCTGAAATATCTGTTAAAGCATTTGGTTTACTTTGACCTGACTCTGATGTTGACTTTCTAATAGACGTTTTTAAGAAAAAAAAAGTCCTACATTGCCATTTGCATTTTGCAGCTACTTAGGATAAATATACTTCAGATGCTAACTTTAAAGCATGTGGAAGCCAGGCAGTGGTGGCGCACGCCTTTAATCCCAGCACTCGGGAGGCAGAGGCAGGCGGATCTCTGTGAGTTCGAGGCCAGGCTGGACCGACAGCCTCTGAAACAATACAGAGAAACCCTGTCTCGTAAATACCAAAAAAAAAAAAAAAAAAAAAAAAAAAAAGCATGTGGAGTGATCAAAAATCCTTTTATGTGGAAAGGGGGAGGTGGCATGCTATTGTAGGTGTGAAGCCAAGTAGGTTTCTGGAAGTTACAGAGGAGACATTTCCTCCCTGTGAACTGCCTGTTAGCAGTCAGATGAGACAGCTCCCTTTGACCAGCTGAAAAAATAAATTAAAATTTACATATTATTCTTTGCCGGACACAATGATACGACTCTCAATATATCTCATAACAGTTCAAAAATTACCACAAATCCCTTTTCCATAAATAAAAGCCAAACCAAGGAAACTGGTGCTCTTTCCACAGTTAAGATTTCTTGCCCAAACGTTCCAGAACAAAATGGCATTCTCCAAATAAATGCTGAGTGTGGAAAATTCTGTTACCAGCGCTTCACGGAAAATAAAGCAGCTTTAGGGGAGCAACTCATTTGCTCAAAACAACGGGATTCTTACCCAAGTTCTTCCATCCCCTAACCACTAAATCTGCGGGCAGCTGCAGCTGGCTACATCCAGCTCCTGCACACAGGCATTGTGGGTGTCGCCGTACCTTTTCAACCCGGGTTCCAGTATACCGCTAGTGCAGATCTGTTGAGATGATATAATGTCATTATAGTCACATCCAGGTAATAAAGAGGCCTGTCTATTCCAGGAAAGGCTCTAAAGGAACACAGACTCAGAAGCCACCCAGGGGGCGTGGCACCCAGAATCCCTCATGATCTCGCGCACCTGGGTAAGACTTTAACTAGGTCTTGCAGGGGGAACTCAACGCCCCTTGCCATTTTTCACATCCCACCCTTAGGAAAAGCAGAGCAGCTGCAGCCCTATATTTCTCACTTAAGACACATCTTTCTTGGCCGTACCAACTAACAATCCCCCTCAGGCGCGTGGCAATTATCATTGACCCCACACACTGTGTCCAAGACCCTTTTAAAGACTGTATGGGTGGCTCTGAAAAGAGCCTTTGGATTGAGGACGCCCGCGCCGCGCCTCACTTGGAGCTGGTGTACTTGGTGACAGCCTTAGTGCCCTCGGAAACGGCATGCTTGGCCAGCTCCCCGGGCAGCAGCAGACGCACGGCCGTCTGCACTTCTCGGGACGTGATAGTCGAGCGCTTGTTGTAATGCGCCAGGCGGGAGGCCTCGCTGGCGATGCGCTCGAAAATGTCGTTGACGAAGGAGTTCATGATGCCCATGGCCTTGGACGAGATGCCGGTGTCGGGGTGCACCTGCTTCAGCACCTTGTACACATAGATGGAGTAGCTTTCCTTACGTCCCCGTTTGCGTTTTTTGCCATCCTTTTTCTGAGCCTTGGTGACAGCCTTCTTGGAACCCTTCTTGGGGGCTGGAGCAGATTTAGAAGGATCAGGCATAGTGGCTACCTGGTCTGGAGAAACGGGCGCGTCCGACGTACCAACTCTATTTGTACGCCTCGTATTCAAATGAGGGATCAGATATGACTGGCTTCGATTGAATACAATTGCACATTATGTCATCGGAGGGGGGGCAAGGTATATGCAAATTAGGACATGCCGGTTTCTTTTTCTGATTGGCTAGTGCTGCCATCCAATAGAAAGGTGCGGTCTAGCCTTCCTCCTGATCATATATAAGGGCTTGCTGGCCGTTGAGGGGCCGTAACCGTCAGCTTTCTTTCTGGCTGGTGCTGTATTTCTTGACTATCAGTTGAATATGTCTGGTCGTGGCAAGCAGGGTGGCAAAGCTCGTGCAAAAGCGAAGTCCCGCTCTTCCCGCGCTGGTCTCCAGTTTCCGGTGGGTCGCGTACACCGTCTTCTCCGTAAAGGCAATTACTCGGAGCGGGTGGGTGCCGGCGCCCCGGTGTACCTGGCCGCTGTGCTAGAGTACCTGACAGCTGAGATCTTGGAGCTGGCTGGCAACGCGGCCCGTGACAACAAGAAGACGCGGATCATCCCGCGCCACCTACAGTTGGCCATCCGCAACGACGAGGAGCTCAACAAGCTGCTGGGCCGCGTGACGATCGCGCAGGGCGGCGTCCTCCCTAACATCCAGGCGGTTCTGCTGCCCAAGAAGACCGAAAGCCACCATAAGGCCAAGGGCAAGTGAGGCCCTGCTGGTCGTTAGTGCTACTTACCGGACACCAAAGGCTCTTTTCAGAGCCACCCACACCCTCAAAAGAACTGTACGCTGAGCCTGTCGCTGACAGGTACTGGTCAGGGCTGGGTCTCCCCCCAGCGCGGGGTCTGGGGCCTTCACAGCTGAGGCCAACAGCTTCTGTCTGCAGTTGGCCTACGGTCTGTTTGGAGGCACTCCCGGTTTGTCCCTACCATTCTCCAGTGCTAGATAACTCGGTTCGTTTTTGGACCACAGGGAAACACTCGGTTCTTTAGAAGTTAGTATTAGGCTCTGATAGGTAGCATTTCTACGGAAACTGAAGTGAAATGCTTAGAGTTCTACCAAAACGTAAGTCTGTTCGAGTTAGATCTAATCACGTTGGGATTTCCAAAATGTCTGAGGGGAGATAATTCTATGGAGGTTTTTTTGTTTTTTGTTTTTTTTTTTGGTTAAGGCTATTGGTAAAGAGCAACCCGAAGTTTTGTGGGGCACAGGGAGCGACTTAGGGCAGTGCTGCCTCGGCCTGCTTATGGTGGTAGGATTACAAATGGGCATGGTGGTCCAGCAGGTGTTTGGAATTGGTCACACAATCGGATCCACTTAAGTAGCTTAACCTTGAACAAAATAATTTGTTGGTTTTGGTAAAACTAGATTTGAGAGTACAGCAATGTCCTAAAGGAAAGTATTAACATCACATTAAGTAAAATGTGAATTTTTAGAGAGGATTGTGACTTCTACAAACAATGTAAAGAATGGTTGGAGGGGCTGGAGAGATGGCTCAGAGGTTAAGAGCACTGACTGCTCTTCCAGGGGTCCTGAGTTCAATTCCCAGCAACCACATGGTGGCTCACAACCATCTACAATTCAATCTGGTGTCCTCTTCTGGCATGTAGGCAGAACACTGTATATGTAATAAAATCTTTTTAAAAAAAAAAGAATGGTTGGAGAGTTCTAGATAAAATCATCAGGAACAGTCATGTTAATCATTACCAGTGGGAAAGGGAGAGTTGGGGGGTTAAATGAGTTATGATAATCCTTTAAAATGCCTCAGAATCAGAGTGTGCCCCCCCCTTTCCTTTTAACTATGCTATTCTCTTTAAGCTTTAACAATGCAGGACAGCAAGGCAATTATATAATGTTTATTATATAAATTATATATACACACTACCAAAACTGGGTCTATTCAAGCCTGGGCTCCTTAGACAACGTCTATAATTACAAATCTGTTAATAAAATTACCAATTTCTCAAAAACCCATTTGCCTAAGAATAAGCAATTCCCTTAACTGAGAGTCTCAACCACACAATAGACACAAAAACTGCATGTAGATTATACAGTCTGTTAATGGGTGGTTTCAGTAAAACAAAGCCTAGGGGTTGAGCCTCGAGATCTTCCCTTTATGTTTTTAGTGAGAATCTTGCAGTCTAGCTTTAGTCTGTATGTATTCATGGATCATTGCAGTTCCTTAATCTCTTGAATGACAGTTAATTTGGGGGGTTGGGTGTTAGTTACTATTTAATGGTGTTATGGAGGCATTGTGGAGGGAGGTGTACTGGCGATAGTTTCTCTTCTTCCACCTCTTAGACTTCTGTGAAATGCATAACCACCACCCAAAAGGAATATTTTATTTTCCATTAGGTGAGATGCAATATAAAGATGTAGCTTGTCTACTGTTCAGGGTTTTGTGGCCCATGAGTAACTAGAGAGCACAGATTCTGAATGTGTCTATAATATTACAGATAGTTGCACTGAAACAGCTCTGACCTAAGATCCCGTCATCTGCATTACCATTTCCAGAAACGTAAAGTACCAAAAGCAGCTACCTTGAAAAGAGCATGTCCACTGGATTCATCACCATGGCATATATACCATGCCTAGGTATATATATACACACACACACACACACACACACACACACACACACACACACACATATATATATATATATATATATATATACCATGCCTAGGTATATATATATATATATAATAAAATGAGAATATGCATCTAACAGAAGCTACACAGATAGAGCAGCAGTATCATTTATACAATCTAAAAGTAACCCAAATATCCATGAGCTGATAAATAGGTTGACAAAACTGGTTTGTCCTCATAATGGATTATTAGTCAATGAAAGGGAATGAAGTGCCAATTTGTGCTACAACATGAATGAACCTCAGTGTCCAGAACAGGCCCAATCAGACAGTAGATACAGAAGCTGAAAGGGGAGAGAATAACAGAATTTCCTTGTGTGTTCATGGAAGAAGGCACGGGTGATGGTCACAGCATAAGAAATGTGCTAAATGTCCCTCAACTGCTCACATGAAAATGGTTCATAATATCTTGTAAATCTCACCTAAATTTTAAGAAACTCAGAGTGTGTGCCAAATAAGAGGACAGACGGGCTGGAGAGATGGCTCAACAAGTAAGGATTTTGCTGTGCAAGCATGAAGACCTGAATTTGATTCCCAGGACCCATGCAATGCAGGGCCAGGTTAGCACTCAACTGTAATTCCAGTGCTTCTAAGGAAGACAGGAGAATCCTGAAAGCTTTCAGGCCAGCTAGCCTGGTAAACACATCAGCTAACAGAGACCCTGCCGCAAGGTGGAACTTGAGAACAATACCTGAAATGGTCCTCAGACCTCCACACATAAGGCACATGTTTGCCTGCATTTATATATGTGTGTGTGTGTGTGTGTGTGTGTGTGTGTGTATTCATAGATGCACATGTGTGTATGCACACACACGGGGAGAGGGGAAAGAAAGATGACTGATGTGTTCCAGTGCTTATTTTCTAGAATAACACTGGCCTATCTCTGGTAAAAGGAAGTTGAACTCAGGTGCCACATCAGCCATCATCAGAGACCATGTGGAAAGGCAGGTATGCACTCAGACCTGATACTGCAGCAGCTCTGAACAGGCCTTGGCGGTTCACCTTCTCAGGCTCTGCTCATGTGTGTGTTGTGTGGAAGCACGGAGGTCTTTTCCTGGCCCACTGTATCTCTAAACACATGCCTCTATTAGAATTATTTCAGCAGCCGCTATCCACATGTCCCTATGCACTGCTGTTTATTGAAGATAAGAAAAAGATATAGAGGGTTCCAGAAGAATGCAGCTAGAGCCAACCTTGGAAGTATCTCCAGTGTTTGCTGTGTGTGGGAGCTCTCCACCTGGCTCTGCAGCACCCTCTGTTCCTCTTCTAGTGTAGGTCTTTCCTCCAGTTCCTGCTTCCCAGATTTCGCCTCTACTCTGTGGGACCATTTCTTGCAGGCTCATTCACATGTCCAATAATCTCCCACATCAAAAAATTAAAAATAGATCTAGTATAAGATCCATCTCTCCAACTCCTGGGCATCTATCCAGAGGAAATTAAATCAGTTGTGGAAGAGACTTACTGAAATGCTCATTGTGGCACTGTCAACAGCTAAGACATGGGACTAACCTAAATGTCTACAACGGGGCAAATACATCTTTAAAATGTGGCATATACACAGGTTAAATACTACATAGACTTAAAAAACAAATTTCATTTGTTATCATGTGGGCAAACCTAGAGGACATTACAGTATCCCTTGGCATCCACAGGGGATTGGTTCTATGACCCCCAGACTGGTACCAAAATCTGTGGATGCCCAGGGTTCTTAGTACTTGCTTATAACCTAAAAAATCTTCAGAGTACTTTAAATTATGCCAGCATAACTCCTGGTACTTAATGGAGCATAAGTGTAGGGTAAATAGTTTTGTTAGGTTGATCAAGAATCACTATCATAAAGCTCTGTGCATGTTCAGTAGGGATGACTCGGGAGGGAAGCTGGAGCACCAGGGAGAATCAACAGGGGTCAGCTGGTGAGGCATCAAAGCTTCTCTATAGGTTAATGACAAGTGGCAGGTCAGTTGGACTATGGCTGTGTAGACAGCTCTTGCCTCGCATGATAACTGCAACGCTGTGTGTCTCGGAAGCAGGGATCTCGGGCCTCCTTGTTGCTCATGACAGGTATGGCTGCTGCCCAGGAGGACCCCTCCTTTCTGTGACATTCCCCAAAACCATGGCTTCCACAAGCCCACACCTCTTCTCCAAGCTGCATGCTTACAGCACTGTCCCCACCTGCTAAAGGCAGCCCACCCTCACTGGTGTCAAGATCACATGACATTTTCCTCACCCTGTAACCAGTTGCAACATGCACTGGTGATTCAATTCAGAAAAAGAGACAAAATATACCTGTCTTGCCTATGCTTGAATTGCTATGACAGAAAATATACACAAAGAAGTGAGGTAATTGGATCAATTAAAGTGCAACCCACAGAATGAGGAACAGTATTTTCTACTCATACATTTGATCAGGGATGAATATCCAAAAATAGCAAAGCCCTACAATTCAATGAAAACTCAAGTTTTAAATAGGAAAAGAATCAGGAGTTTCTGTAGACATACATGATCTTTGACATTACTACAGTCACTGAACAGACAACAGATGTCCCCTCCTTCTGGTTAGGATGGCTGTCATTTAAAAGGGGAAAAAATGCCTTCTCTCCCTTCCAGGACTCTCATAAGCTTGCATAGTCTTTTATATCGCCCTATTCATGCCTAGGGGATAAACTGCAATGTTGTGACCAGCTCATCACCTCACCGTTATCTATCCTCTCCTAGCTGTCATTGACAAGAGGCAGAGAGGCACATTTGTGTCTATGTTCACGTGTTGAGTATGCTCTGCACATAGTGTTGAACTGGTATTTGGTAAAGTTAATTTAAAACGAATGACTTCTTTCCGGCCTCGTTAGTGATGTAGAGAAGGAAAGAAACTGAGCTCCCATTGCAAGAAGAACGGAGCTGAGAGGGCAGAGGTGTGCCACGGTCTAGCTCCCGCCCCCATGTTCCACCTCCATCCCCACCTTCCACCCACAACACTACAAGCTAAACCTCCATTTGATCCTTTCCCGCAAAGCCATTGGTGAGGCTCCGATTCTGATTGGGAGAAATTTGACAGAAAAAGGAAACTACATTGCCAGATGTTAAGACGCTGCTCTGCAATTGCATGTAGCCTCGAACCGCACGACTTCTTTCAGGGAAGCTCAGCTCAGACTTGTTGGGATGGAAAAACAGATTTAAGATTAAAGCTTTGGGTCTCGTGGGTGCAGCGCCCAGCTTGGGAACCACCCCGGGAACGGTTGCATAGAATTAAGCCTTTGAGCCGGGCGTTGGTGGCGCACGCCTTTAATCCCAGCACTTGGGAGGCAGAGGCAGGTGGATCTCTGTGAGTTCGAGGCCAGGCTGGTCTACAAGAGCTAGTTCCAGGACAGCCTCCAAAGCCACAGAGAAACCCTGTCTCGAAAAAACAAAACAAAACAAAAGAAAAAAAAACAAAAAAAAACCACAAAAAAAAAAAAAAAGAATTAAGCCTTCGAGAGGTCTGGGGTGCAGGAGTGTATGCATGTGTGAGCGCTGGGGCTCAGAAAAGGTTTCCAGCGGCTTCTGGTGGGCGCCTTGGCCTTGGATGCTGGCGAGGCGTTGCGCGTTGCGCTTTGCATGCTTTGACGCCTGAGCTCAAGGGCGTTTTCCGATTGGTCAGCAGTCCGAAAGCTCTAGCTGATCACATTGGCTACCTAAGATGAGGCCGCCTGGCAGATGCTCCACTGTTTCCCGGACTCCACAACAGTTCCATCCTGGAACCCTCAGTTTCAAATGCTATTTGTCGCTGATGTCTCTCACAAGGTCGTGTATTTCCAGAGGCAAGAGCTGCGGTTTCTTCTTTCTGAAAGTGAAGCCATTTCCCTCATGCCACTATGTACATAAACTGGCACCAGAGAGCAGTGTCGGTTCCTGGACGCCACTAATGGACAACGCACATCTCCTTCGGGATGGTACTGCACCTCCCCGCGGCCGCACTCCTAGACACCTGGCTCCTGCTTCCCTGCTTTGGCATTGACTCATGTCTCTGTTTAAACTACTCATTGGCGTTTAGAAACAAAACCCCCTGATTGTCAGTGCGTTCCCCCCCCCCCAAAGCCGAAAAATGATTTCTATGTTTTTCTCGATTCACGATTGGAACTACGTGGGCTACCTTTTTCATACTCCGACATAGTCTAAGTAACCGTTATTATTTTTTGATGCCCAGATTGTAACATTTTGAGGCCTATAGGAGACACTTGAGTCTAGTCCATTCTTGAAAGTATTTGCTTCAGAAGGCTTTTTTATTTT